ATAGAAAATGAGGGTTGAAGGGAGCTCAGGAGGTCACATCTAGTCCAACCCCCTGCTCCAAGCAGGACCAGCCCCAACTACATCATCCCAGCCAAGGCTTTGTTGAGCCGAGTCTTCAACACCTCCAACTATGAGGACTGTACCATCTCTCTGGGTAACCTGTTCCAGTGCTTCACCACCCTCCCAGTGAGAGAGTTTTTCCTAATATCCAACCTCAGCTTCCCTTGCTGCAGCATGAGCCCATTGCTCCTTGCCCTGTCATCTGCCCCAACTGAGACCAGCCCAGCTCCATCCTCTTTGCAGCCCCCCTGCAGGGACTGGAAAGTTGCTATTAATCAAACCATCAGTGCTCCAGAAAGCTGCTAGTTTAAAGGTAAAAAAAAAAAAAATAAAGCATTGGAAGAAAAACCTTAGCATCCAGCAGCAATTTATCACGACGCTTCGTGGGGTGGTGGCAACTTACGAAAGCTACCAGGATACCCATAAGTTAGTCCGAGTGCTAGCCCCTGTCCCAAAGGAACAACCCTTACCAGCATGTTGACTGCTGGACATTAATTGATCAATTAGGCAATTGATAAACCACCCCCGACTAAATCTGTCCTCCAGGGTCTTAAACAGAAAGCAGAACCCCCATGCGTCGCGGCTGGAGGCATAGCTGAGCCGGCAAGAGACAAGTCCCTGTTTCAGGGAAAATCAATCACGACGGGCTAGAGAGCGCAAGATCATGAATCAAAGATGCACCAGCCATTGATGGAGCACTCCAGAGGCAGAAAGACACAGCGGGAGCCTTTGCTGGAGAGAGGGAACCGAGAGGCTGGATGCTAATGAGAGCAGATGACGGATAGCCACTGCAGCAGGAAGCAGCACGAGACGAGATGTGCCCAAGAACAGGGAGCCCTGACAAGGCCAGCAGATGCAGCCACCGGCCCAAATCCAGGCCGATTCATGCCTGGGACCACAAGAGATTTCCTGGGGCAAGCAGGGAAGGCCCCACGCGGGCTCCGAGATCTGCCTGGGGTGGCTGGAGAGCGCGAGCGGCTCGGGCTGCCCGTACTCTCCTGCTATGGAGCTAATAGACATCTGCTGCAAGAAAGCATCAGAGTCTATCATGACTTTTTGTTGCACCACCGGGTTTTCCTCTGATGTGGTGCAGCGCAGGGAAGGGACGTCTTTTAGCTCCCCGTTTGTGCCACCATAAAAATGAGATGGCGGGTGGCGTCTGCTTGCACCCTCAGATTCACCCAGGAGCTGGTCCGGCCGTGCCATGGCCACAGGGATGCATGGGTTGGGGGCGGTCGCCCAGAGCTGGGGGGACATTTTTACACACACACACACACACACACACACACACAGACACACACACACACACACACTTAAAGGAGATGAACATTTCTGTGCACAATTCTTGTTTCCTTCCAGATGTTTTTAAGACAGCAATGAAAAAAAAAACAGAGCTTTTTGGAGGGGGAGACGAATGATACTCAGTTTCCCACCCCCCACCCCACTTCCCACACCAAAAATGACCTCAAACCTGCAACCAAAAATGCATTTCTTAAAAAAAAGATTTAACATGAAACAGAAATGAAGACGCGTGCGCGTGGTGGTGGAAAACTGAAATATTCCCCCATAGTCGGCCATGCGTGCGTGTGGGGTTGCGCTGTGGGAAAGCGGAAACATTTGCTCAAAGTTGGCTGTGTTGTGTTGTTGGAAAACTGGAATACTCCCACAAGAAGTCAGCCCAGGAGGTTACCCGGTCTGCTTCTCGTGAGTCATGCTGCAGAGGACGCCCAGGGCACAGAGTCCCCCAAGTGACAGGGGACATGCTGCTGCAATCCTGTGCGGGGACACAGCCCGGAGCCTCCCTGCGAGGCAGGGAGCCACACGCTCTGTGTTTATGGCCAGGAGGATGGTGCCAGGCCAGGACACGGTGTGTGTGACCTGGTCACATAGCTGCCTGTTTACTTCTCTTTGCATGCGGTGCTAACAGCCAAGGCGCTTGGCTGGCGCTGGACTCTCACCCCCAGGCCCGGGGCAGCTCAGCCAAAGTCCAAGGGCCACATGGGAAGCTGCAGTTCTCTTGGGACAGGCCTGGAGAGGGGTGAGGAGGGAAAGCAGGACAGAGCCGGGACCGTGAGGAACTGATGGGGGAAAGGGCTGAGTGCCCAGGCTAGAAATGGCATTCGCTGAAGCGTGCAGAGAGAGCCCGACTGGGTTATGCCATCTGGAAAAGGCCCTGTCTGAGTCCCCGTCGCTGGGTGACCTGGGTTGGGGCTGTTTGCAACCACTTCCCAGGACGGGGCATCAGGCCAGGAGCGGGCGGCATGCACTGCATCCCTCCCCCAGGCAGAGTTGGACCGGAGCGAGCCCTGCTGCAGCGAGGCCTGTGAGGGGGACTCCGCCACAGACGTTCCTACGTGGCCTTAGGCAAGTCCCTTCTCCCCCGTGCCTCAGCTCCCTGTGCGTCCAACGTGGATGGCAGAACCTCTGGACCTGTGAGCTTCTCAAAATGCTGGGGGTAGGAGGGTGGGAGGACGGTGCTGAGCACACCCACCAGGACCCTCACCCTGCAGCGCTGGGAATGTGCCTCTCCTCCCAGCCAAGGCCAGGTAGCAAACCCAGGCCTGCAGGGACCCGCTAGGCAGGTGTGAGCATCTCCAGTGCTTGGCCGGGAGACCGCCAAGAGGAAAGTAGCTGCTAAAAGAAGCGGAGCAGGTCACTGGTCGGGGGAAAGGGCACTCTCCTCAGAGCACAGTACCTAGTGCTGGGGCACGCGGGGCAGCTGGCTGAGCTCTGCTCTGGATCAGATCCAGGGAGGCACCAAGCTGCACAGCCCAAGCCCATCCTGGGTACAGCTTCCAATGCAATCACACAGGACTGAAGCCGACAGCGTCCTGCCCAGGGACTCCTTGTGCTGCTCACCTCGCTCCTCCGCATCCAGCCCTCGGGTCTCGAGTGGTGCTGACAAACAGCTGCCTCGTTCCATCCCCGCAGCCGTGGGCAGGCATCCCCTTTGAGGCTCCTGGCAGTGGTGCTCCGTGGGGTCCCTTGGCATGAAAGAGGCGCTCCTATCAACCGGATATGGCAGACATGGGCTGGGCTCTTGACTTGCCTGCCGTGGTCAAGGGCTTGCCAAGAAAGGCCGTGTCTAGTGCCTGCGTGGAGACCCCTCCATGAAGCAGTTAAGTGTGCTCCCCCGTAACACAGTCAGAAGATGAAGGACAAAGAGGGGCGGGGGGCTATTCCGGGGAAATAACCCACAGAAGTGATTCTTCCCCTCTGCTCAGCACTGGGGAGGCCACATCTGGAGTCCTGTGTCCAGCTGTGGGCCCTGCACTACAGAAAGGACGTGGACACATTGGGGAGAGTCCAGTGGAGGGTAATGAAAATAATTCAGGGGTTGGGGCACGTGACTGGCAAGGAGAAGCTGAGGGAACTGGGCTGATTGAGTCTGGAGAAGAGAAGACCAAGGGGGATTGAAAAGCAGCCTTCACCTCCCTGCAGTGGGGCTGCAAAGAGGATGGAGCTGGGCTGGTTTCAGTGGGGGCAGATGACAGGACAAGCAGCAATGGGCTCAAGCTGCAGGAAGGAAAGTTGAGGTT